GTTCTCCATAAATTTAGGTAATTTTGTTTTTTTGTCATATTTTTAATATTTATATATAATTTATTTATGAACAAAACAAATTTATATGAATATATCACATTTTTTAGAAAATAAGATAATGCTTGTGAATTATGTTGTTTTCTTGAAATATATTTTATATATAGAACTTAAATTTTAAATTAAGATATAAAAATTATTAAATATATTATATAACTAAAACAAATTTATATTAATTATTTTATATTTTTCTGAAATAAGATAATTCTTATGTATTATGTTGTTATGTGGAAAATATATTTTCGTATTAAAAACTTAAAATTAAGATATAAAATTATATTATTAATAATTAAATATAAATTATCAAAAAATTAATTGAAAATTGAATTTGTTGATTTGTCTAGGTAATTTTGATCATTTATCAGAATTACTTTAATTTTGTTTATTATTAACTATATAATTAAAATTAATTTATTTTAAAAATATGTTATCTTGAAAGTATATTTTTCTATTATTAATTTTAAAATTAACATATAAAAAAATCTATACTACTATTTAAGAAGTGAGTTTAATGTTTGCTGATTTTTCATATTTTCATAATTTTAGGTAATTTTGATAATTTATCATAATTTCTATAATTTTATATATGATTTATTATATACTTAAAACAAATTTATATTAATAGTATTATATTTTTAGAAAATAAGATACTTCTTATGTATTATGTTGTTATCTTGAAAATCTATTTTTATTTTATATAATTTAAAAGTAAAATAGAAAATTATCTATTATTAATTAAATATAAATCATCACTCAAGAAAAATTATTTAAGTGAATTTGATGATTCATTAAGTTCTCCATGATTTTAGGTAATTTTAATTATATGTCATAATTTCTATAATCTTATATAATTATTATATAATTAAAAAAATTTATCATATTATATTTTTAGAAAATAAATAATTTATGCAATATATTGTTATCTTGAAAATATGTTTTCTATTATAAAATTTAAAATTAAGATATAAAGAATTATAGTTATAAAGTAAGTAAAATATTTGTATAAATATTATAATTAAGTATAAATCAAGCGAAATAATTATAGAAAAGTATTCTTTTAAATATTTCTGATGTTTGAGTTTTGTCATTGATAATTATTTGATGTTTGATTTGTACTTTTTGAAAACATAAATATAAATTATTATGCTGGTTTTTAAATTGATAAAACATCAACTAATAAATATTCATAAGAAAATTATGTTTGCAAGTGCGGGCAAAACACCTAATATATATTATAATAGCTTGCCCCCATTAATTTTTTTTTCTAGATCCCCCACTGGGAGAATACAACGGAGGGGGAGGTTACAACGGAGGAGGAGAAGCTGTTCAGACGCAGCCCGGCCACTAAAAGTCGATAGTATTCACCAACACCATATATGCAATTATGTGTCTTTATGAGTCTACGTAAACCATGGTGGTGTGTTTATAATGATGCAAGTCCCTAAAGTGTAGCGAAGGCCCGTAGTTATAGGCCAAATTATGAGAATAAAGTGTAACTAGGATAAGACCCGCGCCTTGCGCGGGACGAAACTATTATTTTTATTATGTTTTTAAAAATGAAACAATAGTTCGGTTTCATTTAGATTAGAGGTGTTCAATCCGGATATCGGGTTTCGGTTCGGCTCGATTTTTTGGTATTTCGATCATTAAAATATAACTACTATTCTAAATCTATATGTACTTCAATTTGATTTGGTTTATATACCATCGGTTTTCAGTTTATTCAATTTTATACCAAAAACATAATTATTCAGTTTGAGATCATATTATATATTATACAAATATATAATATGATCATATTTAGAGTCATATTGTCACAGAGTCATTTCTTAAAAAAATGTTATATATTTAAATAAAAGAATAAAAAACAAAAAAAGCTTCTATCATCTAATAAAATGATCAAATATAGAATTAATATCAAAACACTAAATTTTGAAAATAAAAAACAAAACAGAAGCATGAAAGAAAAGTTTTTATATTCTTCCATATTTAGTGTTCATCAAACCAATATGTCTTCGATTGAACACAACTATGTTTGTTTAAAGATAAAAAAAAATTGTAAAGAATTTCAACTA